TGCTGATCACGAATATCGTGTCAGTTTTGATCAGAGATGATGTCTTTAAGCATTTAGACCAGGTCGGGTCAGGTCAGGTCAGGTCAACCGGTAGGGGTTGTGACGGGTATTCGTAATACGTGTCAACCGCCTCTGGCAGCTTCGTAACATGTTACGAAGGCACCAAAACTACTTCGTAAATGTTCAAATGGTTGCTAAATTCGAATTCAGCTCAAAAAACTAGCCTAAAAACATGTAAAACTCGAAAAAGTGAACCGAGGTCACCCGAGGTCACCAAAGGTCAATGACCTGACCTGACCTTCAGGTGACCTTGAAACCCACCCTAATGTATGGGAGCAACATTAAATCACATGTTTGAACGCTTGAAACCACGAAAAGCTTGCAAACGCGCGGCTAATGCGAGCCGACATACGCCGAATCGCGATTCCGGCCAAACGTAGTCTCGGAAAAGAGGTTGGTCACAGGTCAAAGGTCATTTGGGTCAGGGTCATGAAATTTTAACCCGCGCCGGGCCGGGGAGTGTTTGAACACCCCCCCCCCCCTGCGGTTTTTCGCAGATATCGCTCCGCGCCGCCGTTTTTGGCATACCTGTTCGTGCATCTTTTCTGCACATGTTGTGAAAATTTCAGACCCAGGTCACCTTAGGTCAGGTCACCAGGTCACGCCAAGTGACCTCACCTCAGAAAAAATAAGAATGCTCGTCATAGCTACACCGATAGATCGATTGCCTTGAAACTTTCAGCGATTGATAAGAGCAACATTATCTATAAAATGTATATCTCGGAATTTTGATATCGGTGACCTAAGGTCAGGTCATTTTTGCGACCTCTCCATTATAAGTCAATGGGAGAAAATTGAAAAGCGTCTGTTTTCCACGAACGCTATTCTAGACACTCTCAAACATCGAGATGTAGATAAAATGGACACACTGAACCGGAAAATGGCAACTGTGACCCCTCGTTATGTCCCCGAGGTCATCTCAGGTTACGAACAGATTCTAACAGTTTTTCGCTAATAACTTCTAATAGAGACGTGCTAGAACGCTGAAAACGCCTTAGATGTGTTCGGCTCGACGTTGCAGATCGACTGATATGCAACATGACCTTTTCCGGTCAGGGCATGACCTTGACCTGAGGTCAAATTTTCAAGTTGACCTTTCAAGGTCAAATCATAGTTCATTCGACGCGTCTCGACGAGAGGAACACGATGGTGGCAAAAGTAATGTCGTGGCTCTTTTGAGTCAAAAGTTATTGCCGAAAAACGTTTTTCGTAAAAACGGCTATTTTTGGAGTTTTTGCCCTCTGGAGGCTAAACCGTTGACCTGAGGTCAAATCTGAGAACATTATTCAGAAAGGTCTGTAAAAGGGCTATCGAATGCGCTTTTCCGCGGCGCTGTAGCTCTATCGGTTCCCGAGATAGCTGTAGCGGGGTTTCGCGGCGTTGCGGGGCTAACCGGGCAGTGTCTTCTGGTTGAGATAGAGAGCAAGAGAGGTGCTCCGTCGGTGCGCTCCTAAAAGCCCTTCTCAGTGTCCAGCCCCTCGCGAACCCGTTCCGACTCTGACTCTATCTTTCCGGGGCGATCAATCATCGGAAACACATAGGCCAGGGTTTAGGAATGGGAGGAGTGATAACTGATAACCCATTACCCCTGATCACCTTGAAATAAAATATCAACTGTACTTAATAAAAGTCTTAACTCGCAACCAACAGCGCCCTTCCTAGCTTGAGGGTCATTCTCCCACCAGATATATATCAATCATTCGTCCATTTGCCCATCCCCTTTCAACCCTGTCATTCGTCCACTTATACCTCGTAATTTACCAGAGTTGACCATCTCCGGTCCCTCCCCTTTTTCCTAACTTCCCCCGGTGGTGCTAAGGCGTGCGCAAGTCGTTATTGAGTCATTGGCCTTAAATTTCAGTAACCGTTATCCCTTCATAACCACAATGCTCCGTACATCAGACAAACGCTTCATAATGCTCACGCTACACGAATAGAATATACGAACCACCACAGATTTCGGCACTCCGCCCTTGAATTTCGCGACTTATAGCGGGTCCAAGACCATGCCGAACTACCTACACACAAATAATAAACACACACGCACGCAGGTTGTTGAGCGAACAATGGACTTACAGCATGGGCCGGTAAACCTTTGCAGCAACGTACGCAGCCCTTGTCTTACTGCCACTCACGTGTGGACCTGCCTTCTGCTGCCAGTGGTCAGTCAGCATCTCTAACACACTCCAGCCCACGGTTCCGGAGCTAGAGCTCGCAGGGCACTCAGTAGCCCGGGCTTTCCGCGGCGGACGTATCTAAAATTTGAAAGCCGGGTTGGGTAACTAAAGTCCGTCCGTGATACTAATGACCGCATCTCGCACCAGCCATAGTTCAGGGTTTCCGGGCCAACCCGGCGACCTAAAAAAGGGTTAGCTCTCGTCGGCTAACTACAAAGACAACACGCGTCTTCCACGCACGCAGGTCCACTCGGGGACGTCCTGCACTCAACACACATCGTCGACTACCAGCACATAGGTGTCCAAAACCCTATCTATCCGTGGCTGGTAGTTAAGCTGTCGTCACAGACCTATTCGAAAGGACCAGAGCATGGCCGGAGCTACTCGACTGACTGCGGGTGGCCAGCACCGTCTGACTGCGATCACCCGACTCGAATGCTCGGTATCTAATGTTCACCCCCCCGTCTTGCGGCATTATACGTTCCTTCGCGGGGCATTACTCTTCCGGCGGCATACGATTCCCTCGCTAAGACGCCCGGGGTCCTAACCACCTCCGAAACTATCTATGTCGCTCTTCAAATGACGTCCCGCGCCGACCACTTGAGGGACCGATAGCGGGCCTACCTATCTTTTTAAAACCGGGCTGGGTAACTAAGGTCCATCCGTGATACTGATGACCGCATCTCGCTCCAGTCATAGTTCAGGGCTTCCGGGCCAACCCGGCAGCCTAAAATCTGCCCAGCCTCCGAGGCTGTTAATCCAAGACGGAACACCGTTATCTCGCGGCGGCCCACCCGCCGATACACATCCCAGGCGGCGGCCCACGTGACCTTAATTATCACCCAGGCCTACCCTGGGCCGGAGCAATCGGGCCACTGGTCCCGTGCCCCGCTAGCCAGAGGTTAGACAGACTACAGCCCGTCGTCCCCTCCGAGCCAGGACCCGAGGCTGACCGGGTAACATTTCTTGAAACCCTCCTCGGCGGTCTGCGCCCGACTCGCCTTCATCCTCACATTTAATTTCGCGACTTATTGCACGTATCCAGGGCTTACTCAATCGAGGCCTACTATTTAGTGGGGTCTATTCGAGCTGAGCGTCATTAAGAAAATCCTATTTATCTACGTGTACAGTCTTCTTCCCTTTCACTCGCGTCTCATCTCCCTCCTAACCCGTAGCCGCGTCGGTGGATTCTCCACGCACAGGGGCGTGACGTGCATCATCTATCTCCCCGGTTCCATTCCTTGCAGTGTCTATGTAGAATAAAATTACATATATTTCGGGTGCGGCAAAGTCTATGCGCGTTCCTTGTATTCGGACCGTTGGATTGGATGGAGCGCCAGGAATTCCGCTGACGCATTATATTGATGGAAACCGGACGGTGGTACGGTAGGAATAGGATAATAGCAGCCAGAGCACTCTCCAGCATAGGTAAGGTAAGGAGGTCCTGCGTGTTCTGTGCGTGCTGCTTGTAATCGGACCATCGAATAAAGTGGAGCGCCAGGAATTCCGCTGACGCGTAATAGTTATGGGAACAGGACAATGGTACGGTAGGAATGGATAATAACAGCCAGAGCACTCTCCAGCATAGGTAAGGTAAGGAGGTCTTGCGTGTTCTGTGCGTGCTGCTTGTAATCGGACCATCGGATAAAGTGGAGCGCCAGGAATTCCGCTGACGCGTAATAGTTATGGGAACAGGACCATGGTACGGTAGGAATAGGATAATACAGCCAGAGCACTCTCCAGCATAGGTAAGGTAAGGAGGTCCTGCGTGTTCTGTGCGTGCTGCTTGTAATCGGACCATCGAATAAAGTGGAGCGCCAGGAATTCCGCTGACGCGTAATAGTTATGGCAACGGGACAATGGTACGGTAGGAATAGGATAATACAGCCAGAGCACTCTCCAGCATAGGTAAGGTAAGGAGGTCCTGCGTGTTCTGTGCGTGCTGCTTGTAGTCGGACCATCGGATGAAGTGGAGCGCCAGGAATTCCGCTGACGCGTAATAGTTATGGGAACAGGACAATGGTACGGTAGGAATAGGATAATAACAGCCAGAGCACTCTCCAGCATAGGTAAGGTAAGGAGGTCCTGCGTGTTCTGTGCGTGCTGCTTGTAATCGGACCATCGGATAAAGTGGAGCGCCAGGAATTCCGCTGACGCGTAATAGTTATGGAAACAGGACAATGGTACGGTAGGAATAGGATAATACAGCCAGAGCACTCTCCAGCATAGGTAAGGTAAGGAGGTCCTGCGTGTTCTGTGCGTGCTGCTTGTAATCGGACCATCGGATAAAGTGGAGCGCCAGGAATTCCGCTGACGCGTAATAGTTATGGAAACAGGACAATGGTATGGTAGGAATAGGATAATAACAGCCAGAGCACTCTCCAGCATAGGTAAGGTAAGGAGGTCCTGCGTGTTCTGTGCGTGCTGCTTGTAATCGGACCATCGGATAAAGTGGAGCGCCAGGAATTCCGCTGACGCGTAATAGTTATGGAAACAGGACAATGGTACGGTAGGAATAGGATAAATACAGCCAGAGCACTCTCCAGCATAGGTAAGGTAAGGAGGTCCTGCGTGTTCTGTGCGTGCTGCTTGTAATCGGACCATCGGATAAAGTGGAGCGCCAGGAATTCCGCTGACGCGTAATAGTTATGGAAACAGGACAATGGTACGGTAGGAATAGGATAATACAGCCAGAGCACTCTCCAGCATAGGTAAGGTAAGGAGGTCCTGCGTGTTCTGTACATGTGGATGTGTGCGCGTGTTAACATGTATGAGTGCGCGGAAGCTTGATGACCATCTAAAACCTTAGTTCTCTTACACGACTTAACGTGGCCGCTACGCCCCCCCTTTCCAATCCGCCCGGTGTGGTTATTCAGAGGGTGCCCTGGGGCGGCACCCTGAGCCCGCCCGTCCCCATTGGTGGGCGCCTTCATACTGGCCGGCCGCGTCGCCTTCCCGGGCCAATACTGGGCCCGCTCGGTCCCGTCCACCAATGAATTTGTCCGACTGTGAATCTCTCTCTGGAATGGATGAGTTATAAGAATCTCTCGGGTCGGGTCACATCATTGTACCATTTCGTCTCGTGATGGCATATTCAGTACCTACTGGTGAAGCTCCGGCCGCCCCGCCCGTGCTGGATATCGCCGTCCTTTGTGACGAGCGGGGCCGGCTGCGATGGGTACCGGAGCTCATCCTAGGGGTCGACCTGAGGTCCCTGGAGGACCCAGAATTCCGGGCCATCTTAGCAAGACGGGTTCGGCGCCTTCAGATCCAGGTGCACCCCGACCGACACTCCGGCGACGGTACTCTATCGAGGTGAGTCATGATAATCACTGCTTGTTTATTTTCCCCCTCCCTCTCTATGTCCATTATGCTTATCGGTAGTTTGTTCGCATTCATTCTTTGTATCAATTCGATGTTCTAATTGAACCAAGTGTTGCATTCTAGTCTAGTGCCCTATGCTAACCCCCCCCCCCCCCCTTTTTTGGTCTGTCTGCCTACAGGATCGTTAACATATGCGCGACGGTTCTGCGAGACCACGGCGCAGAATACGCCCGCTGGGCAGCAAAGCAGGACGGGCCGGCCTCAATGGAGGTGTTGCGGGCCGCCCTCCTGCTTCCTCCGCCCTTCCGGGACCTGCCCGAACCCGCCCGCACACGCCTCGCCGACCGAGCCGATGAGTTGGGCGCCAGCCTCCTATCGGCAGAAACGGCCATCAAGGCGGAGCGGCGGCGGGCTCGGGAGGCCAAAGGCGAGGCCTTAGCGGCTCGCCTCGATGCTGCCGACGCGGAGGCCGCCCTGAGGGCCGCAGAGCGTCGGGCGGGGGCGGAAATCGACCTCCTCCAAGCACGCATCGTGGAGCTGGAGGCCCGAATCGATACCAAGGAGGCGGTCGTGTGCCGGCGGATCGCGGAGCTGGAGGCCGCCCTTGACTCCGCCGAGGCCGGGACTGGGAGGGCTCGGGCCCAGGTCTCAGGACTGGAGGCCCGGGTCACCCAGCTGACCGCTGAGTTAGCGGCGTGCCGGGGCATAATACCGGAGCCAGTCCGCTGGTGTTTGTCGGCAGTAGCCGATGGGCGTCCGCTGACGCACAATTTGCGCCGTACGGCACGGAAGGTATTAAATAAATCAGCTGACTGAGCGATCCTTCTGTGTTTAGTTGACGAGCGTGCGTGAGCCGCGATACGCCCTCCCATTTAGCATCCGAGTCTCCAGTGATAAATAGATTGTGGTATTTCTGCGATTTATTTACAAGCTCCCACAATCGAACCCAATTAAATCAGTCGGCACTGATAACCCATTCACGGCAGACATTGGATACTCAACGTCGGGGGATTCAGCTCGTCTAAACCCCCACACGATCGAACCGCTCGGAGCCGCGACCCTACACATTGAATCGGCCCGGGGACGTATCCGCGGGGCGGTCAGGAATTCACTACTGACCCTACACACAAACACTTTCCCTTTCACTTGGGTCGGACGGCCCGCCGTCTGGCGCGCTCTCCCTCGCCTCCCCTCCCCACATATCTATCCCTCCCTCCGGGGACGCCCCGGTGGGAAACATGGGTCAGCTCACAAGAGGGAGGGAGGGTAGGTTATTATGAGAGATGAACGGGGGCGGGCATTATAGCGGGTGGACTGGGAATGGCCGTCTGTGCTCCGAGAATGACTGACCTCCTTGAAGAGAGTAGGCTGCTGCTGTGCCGTCGGCTGCTGCGAGTAACACTCTCGTCGTCGATGTGGACCACCCCAGATTGCCCTTTTTTTCTTCTTGCTCCAGTTTAAATACCTCTGGTGACGTCATTTCGGCGCTCCAGTTTGGTGGGCGGAGTAAATTTGGTGAAGGGACATAGGTACCGCCCTCGAACCAATGCGATGTCTTCTTCGGCTTGAAGCACCGCCCCAATTCCTCGTGATTTGATGGCGGTGGCTGTGCATCCCCTCAGGGTTTAGTATTGACGGTCCTCTCAGTAGCCCTGGGGCGAGCCACTCTCTTTTTCCAGATTCCTGGTTAATTGTATCGGAAATGTGGGTCGTTTCTCCGTTCCCCTTGTTTTGGTGCTCCGCTTAAGTCCAGGTCGGCTGCTGCGCCCTTTATCTTGTTTGGCTTCTGTCAGTAATGGTCCGCTTGATAAATGTCCCCATCGGGGTGCCGAGCGTGGGACCAAGTTCTGTTTTCCAAAGGTTCAACTGATAAATGACTCGCCACTGGCAGGTGGTGTGCTCCGGCATGCTATTTGTCGACTTCAAATCCTGGTTCTCACGAATTGGGGGTGGTATTCCACAGCGGAGCCTTGTTGTCAAAGCCGGCTGCACCCCTTGTGTACGCCGGTCTGCGACGCAGATAGGTATCGCCGCCGATTTAGCCGACTGGCCGTGTCTGTGCGGTGCGCCAGATGGTTTTGAGGCCGACGGTCAGGGGGTCAAATGACTTTGTTTGCGTGCACAGCCCGGCTCTCCATTCATCGGACGACATGGCTGATCGGCATCCGCGTTCCCGGTCCCAGCCTCTGCCTATTTTCGTCCGAGTCGGGTGCAGCTGCTGTTTTTGGGCCGGCCTGAGTGCGCCGGCGTCCGGCTAACCCCGGCGCGCGGTCGGCCGTCCTGCGATCTGGTCAATGATTGCACTTTTGCTTGTGGCACGGCTTGCTTGTTCAAATTGAAGAAACAAATAAAAATGTGGCGCATCTGCGTTACATTTTCAGATCTCTTTTTTATAGTCGCGCCCCGCGACTAGACGGGCGGGAGTCTGCTTCTGCCGTTGCCATTGTCGCTGTAGTTCCTGGTGACTGCTGTGGTGAGAGCGAGTGGCCGGGGTCTTAAGGATTGGCGGCTATTTGACAAGAGTGTTTGGCTGGGTAGGAAGTATAGGATGAGTATGGGGCGTCCGGGGACTGACTCTGACATGGTTTACTTATCCCTACTAACCAATTACCCCACACATCCAAACATCGGTCGCATAAATCACACATCCGCGCGATTCTCGATCTACCCTTGCTGTGTAGCAGGTTTAGGCCCGCTGCGGCCATCCCCAATTCCTACAGCAGTCTTTAAGCATAAACTAGCACATACACATACTATATACACATACTATATACACATACACTGGGCCAAGCTTACTCGTTTGGTATATTGTCCGCTGTCAGCCCAGGCTCGCTGTCGGCATGACAGCGTTACCTGGCGAATTGAGTTGGTCCGTCCACCATAGAGTGTAGTCGTCCTCCGGTCGTCGTCCTTGGTCGCTGCAGCCGAGTGGTGGTGAGTGGCTTTTTGGGACAGCCGCTCAGTCCACCTCAGCCGCTCGCGATTGATGTCCCTGCTAGTCGTCGTGTAGTCGTCCTGGCCGTTCATCGAGTTTTGTAGTCGTCCTGGCCGTTCACCGGGTTTGTAGTCGTCCTCTTTCCTCGTTCCCATCTGGATCAGCCTGACGGTTGTGTAGTCGGTCCACCATAGAGTGTAGTCGTCCACCGGTTGTTGTAGCCGAGTGGTGGTGAGTGGCTTTTTGAGACAGCCGCTCGGTCCACCTCAGCCGCTCGTGATTGATATCCCTGCTAGTTGTCGTGTAGTCGTCCTGGCTGTTCATCGAGTTTGTAGTCGTCCTTCCGCGTCCCGTTCTCATCTGGGTCGGCCTGCATCCGTGTCGGTTACCGGCCCGTTCTCTGTCCGGTTTGGACTTAGAGAAGGGCGGTCAGCTCATCGTGTTGTTTTTTCAGCTTAGCGAGGGCGATTTCGAGTTGCGCCGTCTTCTCCATGCGACATTGCAGGTCCGTTGTGATTACTTCCAGGTGGTGGATCCGGGATTGGAGTTGTGATATCTGGTTGGGATCGGGCAGGAGAGGGGCAGATGGGATGGGCAGGTCGGGATTTTGGCGGGGTTGGATGATGGTACTCTGTGATCGTCTGTTTCGGCTGCAGTTGTAGGCAAGCAGGCCGAGCACCCCAAGCAGGGCGACTCCTCCGAGGGTTAGGGAGGTGTGGTTGATTAACTTGAAGGATATCCCTTCTGTGTCCGGGGATTCGTTCCAGTTCTTCATTGTTTCTTTCAGCTCTGTCAGCATTGAATCTTCTCGACCCGTCTCTTTGGCTGCTTCAAGAATCTCATTTAGTTCTGTTTGGTTTATCCTTCCTTTCGTAGAAATGTAGTTTTGGAAAGTACTTGGTTTCAGTTCAATCTTGAAGTGAGTCATGTCCGTCAATTTCATTTCAGCTGGGGTGTCGTCTTGCCTTTTCAGATGAGCTGGGATGATGTAATGGTCTCCCATCGCAGTGCAGCTGGCCGGAAGGGAGAAAATACCTGTTCCTTGTAACCGGAACCCTTTGGTTGGCATTCCTTCTCCGGCACATTGCATAGAGAATAACTCCTCGGTTGGTAATACATAAAGCCATTTGTTGTCCGCTACGGGGTATATTTGCGGTTTTGGTTTTATCATTTTCCGCACGCATTCTTCCTCAACCTTGCTTTCTTCGTCCCGGAAGGCATGGTATAGACAACCCTCTCTCTTCTCCTTGATGAGAGGTGTAAGCTTGTTGCACATCGTTCGTCCACCGACGTGGCGGCAACGGCTAATTTCTTCTGCCGACAATTCAATGTGCAGGCGCTGGTCCTTCGATATTGCGAAATATGGGTAGGGGACCTGGGCTTCTAGGGCAATTGAGGAATTGGAAAAGTGTGTAGGGATGGAGTTGACCTTAAAGAGATGGTATTGTCCATACGGCCGGTATTGGAGCGGGATTTGGATATGCACTTCCCAGCCGTCTTCAAGCGCCACCGCGGAAATTTCTAAGAACTTGTAGATGTTTGCCGGTGTTTCTGAGAGCGAGATGGCTGGCACCCACCCATCAGGCAGGTGATTAGTGATGGCCGCCATGGTGGTCTTCAGCGTTGCGGGCGACAAAATGGCCGGCGTTACCACTCCTTGTTGAGTGTGCGCCATCGCCCGGCCGATCTGCCTCACTTCGTGGTGAAAAGTCATCACAGCGGCGCTTGCGGTACGGATGGCAGAGGAGATCGCGTGGCCGAAATCGAGCTCTCGACGAATATTCCGCATGGTAATGTGGTCGGCGTCCCTCGTAACTGTAAAGAGTGACTCCAGCTCGATGGCCTTTCTGGCTAGCGTCACTAAGTGTTTATCGTTGTTCTTCTGACGCTTTGAAATTTCTCCGATTAAGGTGGTTTGTAGTTCAGCAATATGATGAAGTTTTCCCACGCCGGCCGTGATTCCTTCGATTTGTTTGTGCAGTTTTTGGACGTCAGTTTCCGTGGCGGTGCCAAACAACCATTTTAAACCGTCGCCAAGGGCGTTAATCAGTCCCCTGGCTCGGCGACTGAGTCTCAATTCCGTCCTGAGTTCCTGGATTTCAACTTCACCAGCCCTTAGCTCAGCCTCCATCCAGGTACGCTCTTGATTCCACATGGCTTTCATTTCTCTGATAAATTGTTGGGTTCTCTGTTCTTCGGCCGTCTGGTTCGCTTCAAATTCGCCGCTGTTCTCTAAAGCCCTATCAATTTTGGTGAATTGCTCCCGGATTTGATTTGATTGCCTTTCGACGTCCTCTTGCTGAAATCTCACTATTGCTGTCCAGGTTCCGGTGGCCAACACCAATGGTCCCTTCGGCTGGAATAAAATTCCGCTTCGCAGGCCGGGCGTGACGTCATTTTCTTCCGATCCCTTGGTGCGGCTGGCTGCGACCCAGAGCAGCAGGAGGGCCAGTCGTCCGGACATGGCCTCGGTCTGGAACAAGAGGAGACACTCCTGTTGGTTTCTTTTTGTCTCACTGGTCTCGCTGTTCCCGCCTGAGTCGGATTCGATCGGACCGTCTCAGGATGGGTGTCTCAAAATTATTGGCCCTTCTCCTGCCCTGTCCCGTCCCACAAATGCCTGGGGAGGGTTGGGATCTCCTGCTGTAAGGACGGGGCTCGGTGGTGCAGTCTTGAGGCGGTGGGTGTGGTAACTGGTCGGGTATAGGAGCGGCCGGAGTTCCAAAATGTCCTCCCCCGTCTCCTCCGTCACTCTCTCCTTCCTCCGCACTCCCCGAGCTGGTCGATACGGGGCTATGATCGAGTGGGCCGGGTCGGAACTTGCTCCTTTGGAGCCTGAGCCAGTTGTCCACTTGCTGCTCAGCGTTGAGAGGGTTCTTAG